CTAGCCTTTAAGGTTGTGAAGGAAATGATTCACGTTTGGAATAATGTGTAGGGCAAGTAACTGTTTTTTCTTGAGTCCACAGGCAGGTGGCTCCAGCTTTACAAGCAGCAAAAGACAGCAAGCAAAACTGATAGCATCTGATCTGCCTAAACCAGGCAAAGATTATACCCACTTCATATAACTGCTCCTTAGAAGGGCCATGAGCTGTTGCAGCTATGAACCTGGTGTTACTTATTGCAGAAGGGGAGGAATTAATATCTTTACGGACAGCTTTCAGGGGATCTTGTGTCCATTTCCATGTCATCTATTCCATAAGCCCCTTGGCTTATCTTGTAGCAGCTAGAGAGAGCGTCCATCGAGAGGGGGCATGGGGCTTTCACACTGAGCTGCTCTAGTAGCAACCCTCTCTCTTTTCCAGTAACTGAAAGCAGGGGGATGCTCTTTAGACTTCTCACGGCAACATTGTTCTGGGCTTTTGGGGGAGGAAAAACTCATCTCCTCTCATGTTAACTTCTGGAGAGTTAGCTCAACCCTCTTCTTGCAGGCAGGCGGTGTTTTTTCTGCAGCCCTATGTAGCCGGTATGCATACAGTATGCAGAGTCTAAGTTGAGGGGGTAACATGCTCACAGTTGCAGTGCCCAGGAACCGAGTGTGCTTCATAAATTGAATATACTTTTTGGTTAATCAGATTTCAGCAATACTCTGCGTGTCACAGAATTGTTTAGTTTATATCTGCTTTTTGTTTTTTCCAAGCATCTGTAAAATGCATTTATTTAATATTAAAAGGCCGTAGCTAATTTATTTTATTACCTTCATTACCGAACAATAAAGATGCACTGTCCAACCCAAACATAATTAAAGTTGGCAGGAGTTCAGTTTTGTTGCAGTAGTGTTATTGTTTGCAGGCTTACACGTCGCCTCCTTGATTGCTTTCTGCCAGAGTTTATTTAACTCCCTCAGCCTGGTTCTGATAAGCCAGTCTGACTGGTTGGACCTTGCGTGAGTGCAAAGAGGGGAAGTTCTCTTGGCATTTAAGCCTGCTCCTGTTGGGGAGCAATTAGGACAAAGTGTAGCGCTCCGGCTCTGGCCTGCCGTTTTGCATACGAGACGGGAGTTCGTCTCGTGCCTTTGTTGCCTCTTGGTAACCCCCTTTGCATGGAGAATTTCATCTGGCTGGTAAAATGCATGCTTTCTAAATGTCATGGTCTGAGGGAAGTGATTAAAGAGAAGGCATTCGCAATAGTCATGCTGAATAGGTTAGATAGAAAACGTAGATTGGCAGTTCCAAGGAGGAGTTTGCGCAAAGTTTAAACAGGGAACTCGTGGCCCTGCAGTTCAGACGGAGTAAAACTGCAGTTTGGGAGTCCTACGTTTCAGGTTAGCGTAGGATGTGGCTCATCAAAGTGTTTGGTGGGATCCTGACCTTGGGTCACTCGCTCCGAGTCCTCCCTCAAGCTTGAAAAATGAGACTTGATGAAGTAGCAAAAATATGAATGAGCCAGAGCTGAGCTTTGCGTGACTCTGGAGGCTAAGAGGGTGTGTGAACACAAGGCAGGTGCGTGACTGGTGTGACAGGCTTAAGATTATTAGTGGCTTATGACTCTAAATGTTCAGCGACTGCTATCAGGAGTCTTAAACGACTTTGATAATGTGCATGCTTGCATGTGTGCTGCATGTAATAAAAGGTTATTAGCAGAGGTAGCTTAATCGGCTGTTAACATGCAAGGTCAAGCGTCTGAACGCGTTCAGTTCTTCCACGTCGGTAGAGAGCTAACCGGCGAGTTCAGTGGTGATGGTCAGAAAGATTCAGCAGAGCATCTAGTCTGATCTGCTCTATAAAATACACCATGACGTTTTACTGTTATCTTGCAGGGCTACCTCAGGTTTGACTCTGGCACATGTTCTGAAAACCTCAAGGCGTACAAAACCTACACCATTTCCGCAGCAGCTTGGCTTAGTGGTTTGTGACTGTCACCCTGGGGAAATAATGGCAGTGCAAATAATTCCTCACAATTAAAATACATGCTACTTTGCTCATTTGAATATCACACTTACTTGTTGCAACTGGTTCTTGTTAGGTTTTTCTGCAAGAGAGCCTGAGCCCGCGAGTAACTGTTTCCTCTCTGAGAGGATGTATGTGCTGTGACTATTTGCCTTTGAACTCATATCGCTACAGAGCATTTACACTAAGCCTTAATTATTTTCATGACTCTTTTCAACTTTCTTTCTGAAATGTGAACAAGACGACCTATAAAGAATTTCTAGTAATGATCTGACCAAGTCTGTAAAAAGACCGGAATAACTTGGTCTCCTTATCTCTAAACAACCAGGATTGCATCAGCGTTTTTGGTGCCCTGAACTGCGTTCTTGCCATTTCTCCAGGGTGAACGGTTGTTTACCTCAACCCGTGACCGCGCCGTACTTGCTTCCATTAAACCTGCAGCAGGGCTGACTCCATGTAGACGTAGGCAAGCAGGCTTCTTGCTGTGTTTGTTCAGAGCGATGTTCCCGTTAGTTCAGTTAGTTCAAGCCCTGCCTTGCTCTTGTCTGCTCTCAGGTATGATGAGCACCTGTGTTGGTGATTTTGCTTACCTGTTTCTTTCTCTGTGCATCTTGAATAAGTAACTATTTTCGGTTTCCTTGTCCTTCACTGTTGCAACATGCTACTGAACAACGTGAGTCTGGGTGCTGGCTGCTAACGCTGCAGAGGCAGAGCACGCTGATGGAAGTGCTGGCTTGATGTTCTGTAGCCCTGCATCGGCTTGCCGTTTGGTGTCGTTCCTAAAAACGTAGCAGATGTCAGTCTGAGTCCTGTCGCTTTTCCCCCATTGTGCCTGACTCCTATGCACCTCACCTGCCTATCCCACAGAGTAGGAAGGAACAGTATCTTCCCCAGTCAACTCCCAAACCTTTGCTCAGCCAGACGCTGCTAGTTGTTTGTTCCCAAATGCCTCCGGGACTGCTTGTTCAGCTCAGCAGTGCTTATGAACGCTCTGCACAGAAGGAGCCAAGAACTCTTCTCACCAGCAGCTCTGCTTCAAGCTGTGGTCGTCCCTTTATGGGGAGAGAATTAAGCTGTGCTGCCCCGTAGGTGAGACAGCCAAGGGTCTCCAGGTCTTGCGGGAGAATAGATGAGGGGAAGAATGGCATATATTTCCGATTCTACATCGGTGCTAATTCTCCAGCACAGAGAGAAGGCCAAGGAAGGGCTTTGGATACCAGGATTGTTTTGGAGAGAAGCTAGAATAAAGAGGCTGACTTCTGCAGCCGAAGATATTCGAGGATATCTTACTGGCTGCCTTAGTAACTTTCTCACCTGTCTCTGGATTTTGCTTACCTGTTTCTTTCTCTGTGCATCTTGAATAAGTAACTATTTTCAGTTTCCTTGTCCTTCGCTGTTGCAACATGCTACTGCACAATTGCTGGGGCTCCTCTCGGAGCAAGCTGCCGTTGGGTGGCAAGGAATCCTTTGTGTTTACTTCCAGGAGAGTTTGCAGATGTTACTGCAGGGTTATCTCTGTGAAATCGGTGCCAGATTGGCCTGCTTGGGGAAGGAACATTTAAAGAATAGGCCAGAGAAGTTATTCAGGCTTGTTTTCCTTTGACCTGTTGATTCTGTGCCGCTTCACTGTAGAAGCGAACAGGAATGATTGCATTGCAGCCCACTGCAGGGAAGGACACTGTTCTCAGCACTAAACAAAACCTGTCTTGTTTGTTTTTCCCCTGATCCACATGCTGGAGCGCTTCCTGGCTTACAGAGGGGCTGTCAAAAGTGTCTGAGAACCTGCATTTTTCTGGGTGCTTTATTTTTTCAGTTACAGAGTTCCCCTGCTGCTTTGGTATCTCGTGATTCAACTTCTTTTTGAAGGCAGCCGTTCTGAGCTGGCACAGCTCTGGTGGTGGGGACAGCTACCTAGTACTTGTGGGATATCTTGTTTTATTGTGATGTGTGCATTAGGAGTTGGGAGTTGGTGGGAGATCAGAGAAACAGCTGGTCCCTATCGCTGACAGTAAGCCTAATGTCTCTAAGCTTTTTGGGGGGGAGTATCTGCTTCACAGCTTCTCTTGGGAACACTTAAGGTGAGGAACTCTTGAGCGTGCTCCAGTGTGAGGAGCAGGTTAAAGTACTGTTGGCCTGGAGACTGTTAAGAATGACCTTCGTATTCAATCTGTTAAGTCCAAAAGGCCTCTGTAGGAGCCATTCTTTGCAAGAGAAACGTGCAGTCTGTGGGTTCCTAAAACTTCCAGCTGCCTGGTGAATTTGCATGGAAATAGATATTTTGAATAGATATTCAAGCCCAGCAGTTTGTGTTTAGCTGTCACTGCTTCGTGCATTTAAAATACAGCCAGCACAGCACTGCACAAGTGAGCAGTTTAAGAAACATCAGCTGGCCATGCTGTGTTTGGAAGTTGCTGCTTGTGGACAAGGTACCGTGGTATAGCTGGGCAGTACGGATATGGCATGAGTAGGAGTTGAGGGAAACCCTTCCTCCCAAAGGCTCTTTGAGTCAAATTTGCTGCCTCTGCCACGCTGGGTTTGGTAGGGGTGCTGCTGAGCTTGCTGGAATAAATACTTCTAAAAGCTTGTTTGAGGCCGACTGAACTGCTGCTGGCTGAACAAGGGAAGCCTCTTCCCAATTAGAGATTTCCAGACTCTCTTTTCAAACGCCTGGGGACAAGTCAGGCCTCAATGAAGCAGCTGCTGTTATATCCCTTGGGGTAATACTTGCAGTGGTTGCGAGCAGAGTAAGCTGGCTGCCTCCGTTGCATTAGTTTGGATTCACGTGATGGTCTCGCAGAGGGAATATGGCTTATTGGGAGTGCAGCTGCTGCCCCAGGCTTCAAAAGTAAGCGGACCCTTTGTAATGGCCACTGAGTCCTTTTGTTGTGATCATTTACAAGCGCTGTCATATATAATCTTACCAGACTTGTAGCATTTGGGAAAGATCTCTGATTATATCTGTTTCTGTCTTCCTCCCTCCCCTCTCTTTGAATCCTAGACTCTGGGCTGGTCGTTCCAAGCGTGTCGTATGAACTTCACAAAAAGCTGCTTTCAGTGGCTGAGAAACACGGGCTGACGCTGGAGCGGAGGCTGGAGATGACGGGAGTGTGCGCAAGTCAGATGGCACTGAGTCTCCTCGGGGGACCCAACAGGTAAAGCTGTCCTTTGGCTCTGCTGTGAGTTTGCCCCCGCCTTGATCTCTAAGCAGAGCTCACCTCTGTTATCATGTTCCTCTAAGTGATGGAGAAGTAGAAGAGAAGTGGAGAGGTTACTTTTGAGCTGAATGGGATGTGGCCCCCTGCTGTCATTTATACTAGTCCCTTAGTGGTCCTGCAGTTGGAGACAGCTGCGATCTGCCTTCCTTTCTTGCCTCCGAAAGAAACTCATCCAGATGCCATGCAAACCTTGTGTTTTACTTCATGTGTCATCCTGTTTCCAAATAATCATGAAAATGAACATGAGGCACAGGCTCCTGAAGTGGGAGGAAGCCTGTTGGTAGGTTTCTGCATTCTCACTGCTTTTTTTTTTTTTTTCTTCAGCCGCTCTTTGGAAAGGGCTGTTGAACATATTATCTTAGATGGTTGACTTAAGGGCTTCTTCTTTACTTCTGTGTCCCAGAAGCGGAAGCGTCTTTTGGGTCAATAACAAAAGAGGTTTGTGTCTCTGCCTGCTGGGAAAATTAGCTTTGTGCAGATGAAACTCAAGGCAGATTTAAAAAAAAAAAAAAATTCAGAATTTCTGTGAGCTGATCCTTGTGTAGTAAAAAATAACCCCCCCAAACAAACCCCTAAACTTTTCCTTTGATTTTATGTTACAGTTTAAAGATGTCAATAAAAACAGAAGTCAGCTAGTAAAAACACACACACACACACACACAGTTTACTTCTGCACAATGTTAAATCATCTTTTAGATGTCTACACCTAAATTGGTGTAGACAATATTTTACTCTTTGAAGGGCCCAATTTGATAGAAGGCTAGGGTGTACTTCCTCCTGTTTGCACGGATATATGGGCAGCCTCTTTTGCAGAGGTCTGCTCTCTGCATGCACTTGTTGATGTGGGCAGGCAATTGCGCATGTATTTTATGTCGTTAGATGCTCCAAATAATTTGTTCTTTAAATGGAAGCTAAGCCTTAACAGTCTCCAGCTGTTCTAGCAGTAGTGTTTTATCTGCAGTCCAGGATCTGATCACTTGACTGAAAGCAGGAAGCAGTAATGTGCCAGGCTGCACTGACCCTATCAACTGAAAATATTAGTGTAAACCACCCTTAATGGCTTACAGGTCATGTAAATCAAAATAAATCAACTTTTATTTTGCAGTTGGTAGGGCTTAGGGAGAAGTTTGGGGTTTTTTAAACCGCAATTCAGCTGATGGGGTAGCTCACAGGGTATTTCTAAGGGTGTATACGTAGCGTTCCTAGCGTCTAACAGACGCTTACCTAGGCATTGCGTTTCTCTTGACTGCTTAGCTCTTGACCTGCTAGCCAGGAGGAGAGAAGAGAAATCCATCCAGTCTTGCTCTTGCACCTGAAACTTGTGATGTGCGGAATTAGTTACTGAACCATAAATAGTTGGTGGAACAGTTCCTGCGTGAAAACCTGCTGCCACGAGTTTGGGTTTTTTTTCTTTTGGTGACAGGATCAAGCTGCAAGCAGAGCTGATTCATCCCTTGTGCTGGGTTCAGAGCACTCCCTGTTGCTTATGCTGTGCTGCATCAAGCTACTAGTTTTCAGTGTTGTCCTTCTAAAAATCATAGTGATGGGGAGAGGGAGCCTCCTAAAAGTGAAACTGCACAGAATCCAGGCTTGCTGCATGACCAGTAAAAATGCTGCTGCTTTGAAATGTACAGGCTGACCATAAAAGTAAAAAAGTTTTCAAGAGAACCTGCAAGCAGGGCAACTGTCTAGTGTTAGCGGCACAAAAGGATGTGGTTCCTTTTTCTCCAGAGACAACGGAAGATTTGCAAAGTCCCTGTCAGTTTGCATCTTACTGATTTTTGTCTTACAGGAAGAAGGTAACAGCTTATTAACATGCCCCTTTTGTCTGCGTTTCTGCCATTCAGGCTCAACCCAAAGAACGTGCATCAGCGACCCACGGTAGCCCTGCTCTGCGGCCCCCACGTGAAGGGGGCCCAGGGGATCAGCTGCGGACGGCACCTCTCCAATCACGACGTCCACGTCATTCTTTTCCTGCCCAACTTTGTCAAGATGCTGGAATCCATCACCAACGAGCTGAATCTCTTCAGCAAGACCCAAGGCCAGCAGGTGTCCAGTGTCAAAGGTAAGTGAGGAGCCCATCCGCCCACCGCCCCCTCTGCAGGGTGCAGAGACCTGCGCAGTTCAGTTCCACAGTGCCTGCCTGGTCGAGTGGCACCACCTAGTGGCACCGTGGGCTGAAGCCTGGTTTGAGGCTGGTGATACGGCAGGGACATCGGGTGCTCCAACAGCAGAGCAGTTGTGCTAGTAGGATATTTCCAGTATAAATAAATAATGAGCTGCTATATGGACCTGTGTCAGACCAGCCATTGTCTTAGGATAGTTGCCTTCTGTCTCCAGCATCTCAAAACTTGAAGTAAGTGAGCATCAAACTAACGTTTCAAACCAAGCAAACTTCCTTGCTACACTAGTCTCAGTAGCTATCAGAATTCAAGTATCTTGGGATACCCCAGTATGCACTGAATTTCCCATCTTTTGTGAGGGAGCTGGCTTGTATTTGTCCTTTCACCAGCATTATTTTCAAAAATGAGTTCATTTAAACTTTCTGGGAGAAACAAACCTGGGAATTAGGGCATTGCGCAATATGTTTTTTGTGGTGACAGGATGGGGGGGTGCTCTGTTGTGCTGGCCTTGCTACTTGCCCGTTATAAAATAGCAGTCCTTGCACCAAGGATTTCATGCTGCATGTGATAGGTGAGTGCAGCAGGCGTGGTGCAGAGCAGATGAGCACCAGCAGATGGGTGAGACAGGCTGCAGCACACCAGCTGCCCTTCTGTAGCACAGGTGATCAACGTGCTCCGGAACAAAGTGCCTTTTTTCAGCTTACAGATTGCAAAATGCCCTTTTTCTTTTTTTTTTTTTAATAGTTTTTATTGGAGAGTGAGCTTCTCTGCTTCTGTGTATTGTTCATAGCTGCCAGACTGGTAAGCCGGCTCAGCAGGTGGCATCTAGGGCAGGGCTGCCCAATTGCTGACCACTTGATGAGATGATTTTTTTTTTTTTTTTTTTTTAGGTATCTGAGTCTCTGTGGATGTTCTCCAGCAGTGTTAAAGAGCTGTTGAATATTGGCATGAGCGTTTTCTGCAGAAGGACAGCAGTAATGTTATGTAAGGCCAGACTGTGCACAGTGAGACAGTGGGTGCTGGATTTTTAAAAAAAAAAAAAAAAAAAAGCAGCTAAGAAAATCTCTGCTGGCTGTGCGAGGAGAGAAGGGACTGAGCCTTAGTTCATGGTTTCAGTCTGGTCCTGAATGCTCGCAATTTCTGTGTTTCTTTCAGATCTTCCAGATACTCCTGTTGATCTAGTGATCAATTGCCTGGATTGTCACGAAAATGCCTTTTTGAGAGATCAGCCTTGGTACAAAGCAACTGTGGACTGGGCAAACCAGAACCGGGCCCCCGTCCTCAGCATAGACCCTCCAATAAATGAAATGGAGCAGGGCATTGATGCCAAGTGGTCACTGGCCTTGGGCCTGCCTCTGCCCCTGGGTGAGAGGGCAGGGCGCGTGTACCTCTGTGACATTGGCATTCCCCAGAAGGTCTTTCAGGAAGTGGGAATAAATTACCACTCGCCCTTCGGCTGCAAATTTGTCATCCCCCTGCACTCCACTTAGAGGCCATCCAGCCATATGGCTCTGAAGGGAGAGAAGAGGAGGAGGAATTCTTTTGAATAAGCTGTCCAGTGGATCCTGACTAGTAAACTCGTGACGCCTTAAGGATGTGAAGTTCTGGAGAGTTTCCTTCAAGAAGAAACGTTGTGTATTTAAAAAAAAAAAAAATCATAAAACGAAACGAAAAAAGAAGGAAGCGAATGTTCCTGCAAAGCTGTTTTCATTCTCTTGTGCCATTGTATGAAGGAACGTGCAGGAAGAGAGCATCTCTCCTTGCAGAAGGTGAAGGCAGCTATTGCTGCCCCGACCCAGGCTGGGGGCTGTTTCATGGGGGGGGGTGTGGGGGGAGGTTCTGGTACAAGTGACGGATGGTTTGGAGATTTGAGACATGTTTTTTCAGCCCTTCTGGGCAGACAGACCCAGGAAGGGCGCCCCTGTGGGAACAGCACCCCTTGATTGTGTAGAAAGGCCTTTTGTTGCAGTCTTACTGGGAGGGGAGGGTTTGGTTTTGTTCTGTTGTTCTTTTTGATTCCTTCTCCTCTTTTTATGTTCTTGAAGGCAATTGTAGCTGACACTCCTTCTTGGACCCTCCATCCCCTTGAGGAGAAAGTTCCCTTTTTGGAAAGCTTGTGTCAAGAGCCGGAAGTTCTCAAGGAGTACATGCTCTGGGAACATTGGTGCCCTAAGTTGGGTTTGCTTGCTTGTCCTCTGGCTCTTTTTTGTTGTTTTTGTTTTATTTGCTTAATGAATGACCCCCATTTTGTCTGGGGGAGCAAAGTGTGTTTTGGAAAGGAGCTCTTCCGGGGTATGTTTGGTGCTTTTTTTTTTTTCTTGTTTTTTCTCCTTTCCTCCTCCCTCTTTCTGGCACAGTGACTGAATGAATCAGGGAAAGCACAACGGAGCAGGGTAGTGTTGCTCTGACTTTTTGTTTGTTACTTGGTGTATGGTGCAGACGGTGTTGGGGTGAGTCCCTGGAAGCACTGGGGCACTGCAGTATTCCTCCCACGCTCCAATGTGGCTTGGGAAGGAGATTCCCCAAGATCCGTTGGGAAGTAAGTCCCAATAGATCCATTGGTTCCCTTTGAGCACAAAGCCTGCATGAAGAAGGGAAGGTGTGCCTGTCTGTACCCATGTGCTGAGAAGCAGGTTTAAGAAGGCCTTAGGTCCTCAGCTCCCATCGCTATTAATGGTAGCTGGGTACCTATCACACTTCTGAAAAGAAACAAAATTCTCTGGCCTTTAATATTGGCAGCCAGGGCTCACAGTGAGCTTGAGGTGGGAGCATAGGACAGCTGCCCACCTGGTAGTGTAGGCAGTGAAAGGTGGACCAGAAACTGTTCACGTTTTAGAATTAATTTTCATGCATATGCAAAGGGGAAGAATGAACACGCCGTTTTATATCCCTCCATGCCTGCTTGGAGAACTAGGATGAGGGTCTGCACTGGCCTTGTGCCCATGTGATGAGGGCAGGGCTGCAGCCCAGGCACTGCTTAGGCTGACTACAGCGGTGTTTGCAGTGTCGTCCCCTGAAATCTGGTCCCTTCTGTTCCAGGCATTGCTATTTGTAGTGATCACTGTCCTATTTTGCCTTCAGAAGATGTTGCTGTGAGAGCTGCTCCCCCCCTTTTGGAGGGGTATGGCAGGAGGGTCTCAGCTGAAATACCATAGGGAATCTGCCCCGTGGTGCTTTGCTAACCAGCCTCGTGCTGCATTGACTTCTCACATGTTGCTAGAAAGTGTTTTGGGTAGCTGTTTCTGCATTTGTTGTGCTGCCCAGGTGGAGCCTTGCTCTGGTGCCTAGAGCAGAGACAAGCTAACAAACCGTCGGCTGGCCTTGGAAAGCTAGCGTGCTGGATCTGCTCTTGCTCTCTGAAGGTGCTGAGTTAGGCTGCACGCTATCCCCAGGGCGAACGCTGACCCTGGGGTGACATAGGAGGCTCTGTACGTGCGAGCAGTTCCTCTGGGAGAAACAAAGCAGATGCAAGGCCAAAGGCCCTGCTCCAGCAGACAGGTGCTTGGCTCCTTTTCCACTTGCTCCTGTTAGCATAGGCAGTGCTTGAAGTTCTGCCTCTTTTTTCTGGTACCTTACCTGCCCCCAAAGCTTTGGCTGGTACCTAAATGTTCTGGCAGCTGTGGAGAATTTCAGAGCTTCAAATGGTGCCTTTCCTCTGGGGGAGCTGGATTTCTTTTAAGGTTGAAGGTGTAGGGGCAGCTGGTGTGTGTGTGAAAATAGCGGACCTACTGTTTTAGCTGTTCTGTAACTGTTCATGCGAGTGAGAAGCAGGTAGGGAGGGAGTCCTACTTACTTAATAAAACTGTTGAGCCATTTGTGCTATAAGTAATGATTCTGATCTGTAGAGCAGGGACTTGTCTCTACCCTTCATCTGCTTAGAACAAAGGCCGAGTGTATCAAAAGAGGAGGGGAGAGGCCTCCCTGGTTGAAAAGACTCAATTAAGTCATTTGCCTAAAAACCTGGAGTTATGGGGGAAGATTTCCCACCCCATGTTACTCTCTAGTACCACTGAACTGTCTCTTCTGAGAACGTGGCAGCCAGCTGCTTCGTGCTACAAACGGGAGACGTGTGAGCATTGGGCTAATCCCTGCAGTGTGCAGGTGTGTAAGGTCTCAGCTACAGCTCTTCCCCTGCCAAACTGCGTGGAGCATGTCATATCTACCTCAGCAGGATGAAGGGCTCTGCCCGTCTTGGTTTCTGTGAGCTTCTTACCCAGCTGAGGGTTAGACTACTGAACCATGTCCCCTGGCTTATGCTGAGTGGCCTTAGTGCTCACGCTGAGCCTCTCGCTGAGTTTTTGTGAATCGTCAGTACTCTGACAGGGTGTAGCTCTGCCCTCGCGTTGGTGTTCCTCTTCCCATAGGAAGGACAGAGCAAAACTTTAAGCACCTATTCCTCAGGTGACCCATGTTTCAGCTTGAACCGTAATGACATTGACTGAGCTGTGGTTCTGACTCAACCCACATTGGTAAGAGACAGCAATTTGGGGGGGGGTTGTTGGTTATTTAAAATACACATGCAAGGCTTTTCTCTGCCTTTTATTTCTTGAACTGTTTGAGGTAGGTCTAATCTTAACTGGGCAGAGGAGCAGCAGCTAGGTTAAACAAGGTGGAAGAGCATCCACTGATCATTTTTGTAGCAATGTTAGTTCTAATCCCCTAATTTTTAACGTTCCTTGCTCAAGCCACTTGGTAAGAGACCCTGCTGTTTCAATTTTCTGCTTTCCTTGAACCAGGCTGTGAGCTTTTCTGGCTCGTCTGGATTTGGCTATTAAACTGCAGACTGTACACTTAGAGCAGTTGAAGTGTAAAGCAGTCAAGGCTGAAGCACAAGGGCCTTCTATGCAGCAATATGGTTCCAGAAGTTTAAGCAAAAATAAAGTGGGCAGTTTTACACAATGGGGGGGGGGGGAAGCCTCTCGTGTAAGGGAAATGTTTCCTAATACTTAACTCTGCAGAGTGCTCATGGCACAGCAGGGAGCTTTGGGTTGGGTTCTGCACAGTTAAACTTCACGTTGTGCTCACGTTCCTAGGCTGAGAGTAGATTTGAGCACTTGACTGTACTTTTCCTCTGAGACAAAAAGCTTACTTGAGGAAGGAAACACAGGCCTGGTCCCCAGGAACTGCATCTCATGTGTGGGTAGGAGTGCTTCTGGGGGAACATTCTGCAAGACCAAGAGCTAGGTCTGGCCCCTGTCTTCTCCCTTTCCCCCTCCACTATTGCCAGAGTTAATTTAAAGAATGCAACACTTTTTTTAATCAATGTTTGAGATAGTTTCTACCACAACCTTAACCACCATCATAGGAACTGCCCCTGAGTGCTGCTCTGGTCACTAACATGTGAAGATCACTGCACTATGTAACTGCTTGATATTCCATTTGTGACCTAATGTTTGTAATGACTAATTCCTGCCACTACCGGGGGATGCCCTGAAATAAAGTGCAACTATTCATGTGTGCTACTCCTGTGCAACTATTCATTTGTCTGCTGTGACTCTAGAGCCTGATAACACATCTGGAACAAGCCTTCCCTCTGCTCTACACAATTCAGGTAGGCAAGGACAGAGACCAGGCAGAGGTTAGTCTGCTCATCCTCACTTTTTGCCCTCCACTGAAACAAAGATTTCTGCTACTTACACTCCTGATTATTTTTCTATAACACCACCTTTCTTTGCAGAAAAGGGAAGCAAGCTGGGAGCAAAACAACCCTATGTGTGCCTACAAGGGAAGTATCAAACAATAAGAAACACTTTATTTTAACTTTACAACATATAAATAGACAAATCTGTGCTTTCCAATGTAGCTTTTCTTCCTCTCTGCTATCCAGGGTCCATGTCACAGTGTGCACCAGTACCTCTGAACTCTGTGAGAGAAGAGGGTGACCAGAGCTGAACTGCAGCATCTAGACCAATCCAGTATATACAAATCCAGCAGGCAATCACCCACCCCAGCTGTCTGTCATCTGCTCAGGTCCCGGCTTGCACTTCGACCGCACAACATCCTTTCCTCTGCAGACAGGCCAGCAAAAAAGGGATGAAGGAGAGCTTCAGAGAACGTGATCCTTTGGGAAGGGTCAAATTCTAGCATCCTTCTCATCAAGTCAAAGAGTTGTGCATGTTCCATTGAGTCATGCAGCATGTATGTCTGAAATAGAACAGGGCAAGAGAGAGATGTAACACTCCACTAAGACAAGGCATTGGGACAGCCCTGATCTGCTTCTACCTCCTAAAGCTTGGAGAAGCCTGTGGCTGCAGTTATGCTGTCAAGAAAAGCCCTTAGTGCGCTACTGCCTGAACTCTGCAATGGAGGTGATTTGATGCTGTAGGATGCCAAAACAAAGATGCTCCGTTCTGCTGCAGCATGGCAAACTAACAGTGGGATATCACCACACTGACCAGGAAAGGGACCTGCACAGCAGTTCCACCCCCTGGAACACACACACACACACCCACCTTCAACAGCATCACAGGCCCACTGGAAATTCACACCTGGCTGTGGCAGGGGCTAGCACCCACCCACATGCCAGCCTGAGAGCACAGCCCAGCTGTCACCTGCTCCAGAGCTGTTCTCCAGCAGCAGCTGAGCAATACCTACCCGCAGGGGCTTGCAGTTCTCTTGGACGTATCTCCCATCGGATGTGTTCTCATCCCACACCAGGTTCCCATTGTGGAAGTATTTTTGTTTCCTATAAGCAAGGGAAAGTGTTTAGTAAGGCTAGCTGGGGGACATATGCAGAAAAGCTTAGCCACACAGGCAGAGGGAAAGCAGCAGCCTGTAAGACTCGATGACAATGCCTTCCCAGCCTCTGTACCTCTTCGGAGCACCTATGCTAGGGTATTTTATCCATCTCAGGTGGATAAGCAAAATGGTTTCTGAAGAGGAGCAACAAAAAGCCAAGCCAAACTCCCTAGTTCCTGAAGAATAAAACATTTCATCTATATGCTTTAGAGTGGTAAAAGGAGGAAAGTTGCTGTTTCTCAGCGTTGCAGAGGAAGAGCCACAGAAACAGGGACTTGTTCCCATGATCCAAAGAAGCCATGAGCAAGACAGAAGTACAGCTCACCCAGTTCCCTCACAGTGCAAACTACAGACAGTTGCTACACTAAAAAAATTCCTGTTTGGCTTGAGAAGGATCAAGAACTGATGGACAGCTATTGCAGAGAAGCCCATCTCAACATACAGACAGCACCATAGCTCCCTTTAGATTAAGCCTTACAGGCTGAACACTATCAATCATCTCTGCAAAACATAAGCCGCTCAATCATTTCCCCCTAAACCCTGTGATCAAGCTTTTAAAAAAACCACCCTCCACCCCGTAACTCTTTTCTTGACTCCATGAAGTCTCCCCAGGGTTATAACCACATAGCTAAGAGTTAGTGTGGGCACAGATGGTGGCTAATTAGCCACTGCAAGCAGTTGACTGGACAATCAAAGAGTTCAGGAACAGATTCTTACCGGGTTTTATGAATCATATGAGATGGAATTGGCCCGAGGATTTTTTCCATCATGACAAGATGTTCACGATTCTCATGGGTCTACAAAAGAAAAGAGCAATGGTACGTTACTTAAGAAGGTGGAGATCTGACAACAGGTCTGTAACCTGTACAAGTACACAGTGAGATGAGACAAGCTTCAGTCAGGTCCTTTCAAACTTTACTCTCCCATTTTCTACTCTTCACAGGTACAGTAAAGAAACTGAAGTGATCTGAACCTTATCCTTTCAATAAGTCATAAGTCCTCAACCTACAGGCTTTCCTGTGCTTATTTTAGCACACAGAAAGTCAGTTTCTGATTTTCAGTGCTTGGTCTGCATTTCCCTTCCCTCCATCTAAGTGCTAGCCTTTTTAGATATTAAGGCTTCTTAGTTGGGTTAGAGGGTACAAAGCTTTTTGCAAGAGTCATACCTGAAAGAGCGTGAAGCCACGGTAATACTCAAACAAAATGCAGCCGGTACTCCAGACATCACATGGCTGTGCCCAGCCCAGCTCTGCAAAGAGAATAAAGCTAGCTTTCAGCTCCCAACGGATCCCACCAGATTTCTCCTATTTTATTTTTAGGACTGCAGGCATTGGATGAAGACGTACCTAGAAGTTTTCTGCGCGCTCTGCAGGGCTGTACACTAGCAAGTGGTCTCACAAGAGACAGGCACTTCCATTTCAGCTTGTGCTGAGCCCACGCTCCCTTGGAGCTAATCTGAGCACCTCACAAGTCTTACTGGTATTTCTTAGCCCTCTGCACTCCCAGTCAAGGTCATCGGCTATCCATGGATAATTTCCATGCAGTCAGGGCCTTGGGACCACTGGGGTAGTGGGGTACCTTGTCTCCCACAGAGGTGGCATCACAGCAAGTTTACTTTTCTTTGCATGGAACAGGTTGTCCCCAAGCCATGTTCCAGAAAAGGAGCTCTTTCAACTGATTTTCCTATAGACAGCATCATCCTACAGCATCCCTGAGACAACTGTTCTCCTCCACCTGGCTAAGACTTCCCAAATCCCAGCACTACTCACCAAGGATGACTTCTGGTGGACGGTAGTGCCGGGTAGCAACAATAGTGGTGTGGTGCTCGTGATCGAACGTGGCACTTCCGAAGTCTGCCACACGGATGCTTGTGTTCCTAATAGATTTCTCCTCACAGCTCTGCAAAGAAACAACAAGTAGTAATTAGTGCTTCCAAAAGGTGGTTCAGGATTAAGGTAGGCTTTGAGAGGAGTCCCAGAACTGCCGTGTGCACATTAGTAATAAGAAAGACTAGAACTGTGAAGGTCTGAGCTCTTTACATCTCTGATCAGCACTAAGGAAAGCAGCTGAACGCTCCACTTTACTGACTAGAGCTGCTGGAAGACATGGGAGAAGGAAAAGACCAAACTTCCAGTTTGTTCTAACTGAACAGACCTTTGAGGCCCCTTAGGGCATGGGCAGAACAAGGAAGATCCAATTTCTGCAAGGAGAAAGAGGCAGGGTACTCCTGGCCTATTCACCTCTCTTTGAGGCATAACTCACCTTTTTCTCATTGTACAACGTGTCAAAATCCGAGTTGACAAACAAGATGTTTTCTGGCTTGAGGTCAGTGTGAGTCAGCTGGTTGTCATGTAAAACTGCACAGGTGGGGAAGAAAAGAGAAAAAGGGATTTATAAGAACCACACACCAAACCATCCCTATACAGCTCTGCCCAGCAAGCCAAGCAAAGCTCCCTTCAGCCCCCAGGGGGGCTCCGGCTCCAGACTAGAGCAGCCACAAACTGGACACCTGGACAAACCAGCTCCTCAGCTCCTCCCAAACTGTTCTGGTGAGCACATCCTAGCCTAACTAGGTATTTCTGACATAGAAAAAGGCACCTTTTGCCAAGGAGAACTTACAAGTCTCCCTTCCATTCCTTTCAGAAGGAAAAGGAAGCACATCTAAAGACTGCCGCTCCAGACCCCTTCCCTGCGCTTCCTCCAGCCACCAGCATCTCCCATCTTTTCATAAGCTTCACACAAGGGGAAAAAAGTACCTAGAACATTCAGCTACTATTTATGCCTGGGCAGAAAAAGCAGGTATTGAAGAACAACGAGCTGCTGGCAAGCCCAAAGGCCAGCCCTGGGTAACTTACATCTCAAGGCATGGCAGAGCTGGTAGGCCATGTGCCGAATCTGAGGAAGAGGGTATGGCTGGAAGTTATTCTCCTTCAGGAATTCAAAAGTGTTCTTGCCTAGAAGCTCGAAGGCAATGCACATGTGGCCATGGAAGTTGAACCAGTCTGACATCAGGACACACAAGCTGCAGAGAGAAAAATGCGAGGATTAATCATCATTCAGGGACCTGGCAGAACAGCGATTTTCCCAGCCTTTGCCTGCTTCAGAAGTGGCTAGTAAGCAAACGCTCTGAGCCAGCAGATTCAGTAGCACAGCAATGCTTCTTGTTCCACAGGAGTGACCTCCCCTTGCTCAAACACCTTTATATAAAAGATCTCTAACTCAAGTGGGACCAGGCAGCAAGCTCTTCTCAGAAGAAAAACTTACCCTTACTATGAACTGGCATATCAGTTGATACAGTTACACATGCAAATACTCAGTAGGAAAACTAGAGAAAGGCTTTCTTCTTCCAAAAGGCAAAAGACAGGCAGGTTTTTTTTGTTGTCTGTTTTTTTTTTTAAATACACAGGAAGCAAGTAGTGGGTGTTCCAGTCCTCAGCCCAGCACTACTCTGCACAGTGTCCACACAGATGGCCTGCCTCTAGAAGGCAGTACCGACTACCTGGAAGCCTCTATAGGAACTTACAATTTGTTCTCCTTGTCCTTCTCTTTGATTTTCTTCAGGACATTGATTTCCAGCCTGGCTGCTTCTCGGTACTTGCCAACATTTTTTATAATTTTCAGTGCCACTTGAGAGTTGCCTCTGTAAGGGAAGAGGCAGAGAGATGAAGTCAAAGAAAAGGCCAAGATCACCTCCACAGACACATCCTCAATCCACTGAGAGTGCACATCCTAAAAAAAAAAAAAAAAAAAAAAAAAAAAAAAAAAAAAGACGACGAGTAACTGGGAGGAAAGAGGTTTAGCCAGTTCTGGGTCCCAACTGTTCTCTTGAGATTCTTGAGATACGCCAAGGATTCACATCATTGTCTAGGGATGTTCCCCCATTTATTTTGGGGCAGAGAACGACCGCCCCCGGGCTTGATGGGAGACCCACACGCAAGAGATGGACGTGACACACCCTTAGTTTTCCCCACCTGCCTTCGAGAGCTTCCATCTCTCATTTGTTTCAAGACAGCTTTGGCCCAGATCTGAAGCAGCCACAGGCGTGATGGGGGTTAGGTGCCCGGGAGGGAATATGCACAGAGAAGGAACTTCACTCATGTAGTCTTTGGTAGGGACAACAGCTTCCCCTTGGCCAAAGTCCAGCTTTGCTATGAGGTGGTCCATGGCTGGGAGTCCCAACCATTACCAATATTTCAAGTTAGCCAAAACACACCTGTGATTTGAGTCTATATGAACCAATGTGGAAAACCAAGAAAATGAGAGGTAGTTCATTTCTCCTGCAACAAGTTACAGAGCTACACAAATTGCCACCAAAACCCTATTGCTGCCTTAGTAGAGGCCAAGGCAGAAACACACTGGCATGAAGGGGAACACTCAAACAGCACTGGAAGTACTGAGACAGTGAGGAGGACATTGCAGTAGCCTTTAGGGCTGTTAAGGAGTTTCCCAAGAGTACACAACAGACCATGTTCCCACTAACTTCCTTTAGTTAAGCCATGCCACCCTGCACATGCCGTTCAGAGAGACCTCTGAGCAAGCACGTGGCAATCACTAAACAAGAAATACTAACAAGCAGAGGGAGGAGGTAACCTTCAGCAAGCTTAGGATGAGCATCTGATAGTGTGGGGGGGGGGAAAAACAAAACAAAAACCACAACACACAGGTCACTAGATAAAGATGGGAGGACGGGATGTTCTGCCCTCACGCCAACCTTGTCCAGTAGTGAAACTGAAATTCAAAGTGAAAGACTATTATTGCTCAGCAACATTCCTAAGAGAGCTGCAGAAAGCCCTGCAAATACAACACATACTGATGCAGCCGCTGATAAGGTCACTGTGACTCCAGCAGACACCTCCTCTCTCCAACTGTGCCAGAGAGATTTTGGAAGAGGCAGGAGGATCCCACTAGCTCTTGCACTACACTCATCCCACGGCTCAGAGCCAGACGGAAGGTCAGGAATAGACAAGGGTCAAGTGTAATCACAGGACAGGAGAAAAGAAAAGTAGTACTCTGGCAGATTAAGAGGTCACTTTCCCCAGCTGAGCGTCCCATTCCTCTGCCAAAATTCACTGCTTCTACAGCAGGGCAACAGAACAGAGTCTGTATCTAAGCGCTTAGCTGCTGAGCTCCCCCGCTTGGCTTAACACATCAGTTTGCAAACTTGGATGGCTGAGGTATGAACAAGGCCACTTTCTGTTTGCTGTGAGAAATAACTTCTACTGTGGTGACAAGTGGGAGGTGACAACACTTCAGTCCAGCAGAGTCCCAAGAGCCCCCACAAAACTGGCGACATTAATCCTGCCACGCTTGCGAGCGTCCGAGCTTGTTCCACAAAAGACAGACAAGTCATGTGGAAGTGAAAGATGCCTACCTGGCGTGGTCCACACACTCCACAACTTTGCCAAAAGTGCCTTCACCAAGGCTGCCGACAATTTCATCTAGGAGAGAAAACAAGAGCGGATGTGAACTTCCAAGGCTTGGCGAGAGCTGAGGTCCTGCAATTTCACAGCAATAAAATATCGAAACAAAAAAATGTCTCTCACGGCTACACTCTTTAAAACTCAAGTGTCTTATTGTCTGCCTCAGGCAATTACTGGTCAGTCCATTTATAAGCAATAAACACTAGAGACCCCTCCAGTACAAAAAGAGAGATCTCGTCTAACATGGGGATAGAAAGTAGAGAGGTAAAGTTTTACGAAAGGTGGCTGTACATCGCTCTTGGAGCCAATCGCCGATCCTGCACACCAGGTGGCCTTCCTTGTCATCTTCCACGCTTCTGCTGCGCTTACTGCTCTGTTGGCTTCTCTGTACACACCGCCCCCCGAAACGGCATACGACCAAGCGCACACAGCGGGCAGTTCCGAATGGCAGATTGTGTTGTCATTCAAAGGTGGAGACGACGGTGCGTCGGTGGTTGGATTTTCCAGATCCCAGCATTTCATAAGGCACACAGCATATATAACGATAGGGATATTGCAAGGGACACGTCAAGACACAAACTAACTTCAAAACAGAAAAGTAATCAACAGCTACAGGTATGTAAAGAAAACTCTCTCATTAGCTACAGCGTCTGATGCAGCAGCCTCTAAGCAGGAAAACGCCCCCCTCTTCTCTGAAGGGAAGCAGCAGCTGGGGAGCTCCAGTCACTGGTTTGGCACCACCATTCCCCACAAGATTTGCCACAGAGGAGCAGCTTCCTCCATAGCACCAGAGGGTGCTACCAGAGGAACGAGGTGCAAGAAGAACGAGGGCTTTGCCAGAAGAACGTCATTTTCTCCGCTGGCAAACATGACGATGGGTATACAAGTTGCCAGTTTGGACAAGCTGTCCAGTAGAAGCCAGAGTAGCAGTTCTCCCATTGTGTAGTCTGCTCTTTTGTACCTCAATTAATGGATCGCCAGCTACACAGAGACGTATCCTGCCCCTGCTATGAATCGGCCCTTCCCGTCTTCACAGAACCAACAACAAGACTGATCCTATCTCTACAAGCCTGACTGAATGCAAACAGACCTAGTATTGCATGTCTTCCTTAGGATGCAATTTTAAGCCTGGAAGAACTTTAGGAACAGGACAGGGAGTGTTTCACTCATAACTTCCAGCGTCCGCTAAAGGCAAGAGGTCACAATCACCCCTGCTACTACTAGCTTCTACTGGAAAACCAGCCGAACGTTCCCAGAAGGATCCAGCGTCCACAAAGCAAACTGTCCCAATACCTGCACTTTTCTATTTAGCCTTAAAAAAGTTACAGTCTCTGCAGCCAAAGAAATGCTAACAAGGCTCTACACTTCCATGCCCGAGTTCTATACATCTTTTCTCCTACACCCCTCACCCCCCTTCCAGTCCAAAATAATGACCTACGAACAAACCCTAAAAGGTCAGCTGAAACGGAGAAGAAGGTGGAAAGAACAGTTGAGACAGCTGTGAGACTTCAAAGGATCTAGATCACACCAGTCAAAACCTGCACACTGTACCACCACACTCACACATGCAAACAGTCTTGGAGTGTTTTAATCATAACCTTGACTTTTTAAGTTGAGCCTTAGAAGAAGGCAACTGGAAAGAAATAAAAGGAGGAAAGCAACAGACCACCAGAAGTTCCAAGCCATGCAGCTATCTGGTATAACTGCAGGGATCAGGACTTGGTCACTTGGTTGAAATAATATTTGAAAACAATGAACTTGTGAACGACAGAAGCGTTCCTTACTGGAGCGAGAGAAGCAGTGAAGCAGAGACATTTGGTCTGATACCTCACAACGCTTCCAAGGCGTTCCAGGTCCAGGGACGAGTCTCCCCACCCAGTGCCAAACATTCCCTGCTAATCCTTCAAATATCTAAGGCCGAGGATAACATGTTGCATTATACTCAGAGTGGAAAACACTTAAATTTTCAAAGAAGCTGAAGTCTGAGGACACTTGTGTGAAAACAGGCAAAGAGGACACGTGCATGTTCTCAGAAGGTGGAAGCCTCTAAATACTGTGGGACAGGGGTAAATAACCACATGGCTAATGTCTCCAGAAGAGTAAGGCTTGATATAGCTGATTGATCCCATACAGTACAGGATCCTGGCACAAGCCAATCAACATGCCTTCACAGGAGTGCTTCGTACCATCACCGCATACCAAAAACCCCCAAAGCAGCATCAATATGCAGAAGTGAAACCCTTGTCACGTATAAACCTTACGGCAGCCCGGCTGGCCTGCATCCACGACTCACCCTTGTTATCGCATCATGCGTTTGCGCCATTTGAAGCTTTCACCGGTCCCCACCCCTGGCTCTAAGAACACAGCTTAGTTTCCTCATGTATTAGAGCTACAGGGGCTGGACTAGTAAAACCTAATAGTTACAAATGCTTCCAGCTTAACAAGACACAGATTTGGGACTATACGTTCCACATAAGCAAAACAAACACAAAAATGGGATTAGAGGTACTCACCCAGAGTGTTCTGAGCTGAAAGGAGGTAAAAGAACAGTTAAAAACCTGAAACAATCCTGAACTCGTGCTGGATGCTACTCACCGAGGAGGCACTGCTACAAGACCTGGTCCTGCGTTTCCGGCAGTGATGCTGATGCTTCTTTGCGCGGTGCTGCTCTCTGCCTCTGGATCTCCGCCAGTTTCGTGCGCGGGCCGAATAATAGTCCTCTCCAAAAGACGGGCTTCGGTCTTCAAATCTGTAGGTGTCGCTGTCCCGTCTGTATCTCCTGTGGTAAGGCATCCTGTCATGGCTGCATTGCAAACAGAAAGCCCTTTACAAGCCTGAAAAGCGGGAAAACCAAACCAGAGCCCTGCTGGCAGTAAGCACTCTTGTTCCCACTACCTGGTGGCAAGGAAACAACAGCAACATCCTAACTTCGAACCACCATGCCAGTACAGCTCAAACGCTGACCTCTTTTCAGGCGAGTTTCTCCGATAAGGAGGAGGAGAAGGTTAGCTAAAGAAAATGGTGTGGCATCGCCACAATTCAAGGAGCCAGGGGAAACACCACCCACATACTCAGAACTAGATTTGAGCCACCTGCCTCCTCTGAGCCACCTCCAAGTATTTTTCTAACATCATTTCTCTTCCCCCAGGAAGGACTCTCATTAGTTTTTACACAAATGAGAACTGAACGCAGCAGGGGCGCCCCAGTCATCACCCCGGTGGGGATCAGAGTCCCCTAAACACTGAGTCTTCAGTATACTCCTGCACAACAACTCAACAGATCATTTGTGAAAGCCACAAGGAAAGTTTAAGCTCTGCAGTTTAGTCAAACCGCTTCCTCCAGTGACAACCAAAGGTTGCAAACACATAAGGTCAAACGTGCATTATGAAGAGCCACAAGACAAAAGTTCCCCTTTGTCACCAGTTGTAAGCTGTTTTAGGTACTGTGCGCGCACATTAACTGAAGAACTAAGCAGCTTCTCTGTGCTCAGTTAGAGAGCATCTGTGAGCTGGAAGTGCCTCAAGTTAGAACCACCATTCTATAACTCCTGCTTTTTACTCTGCAGGTCGCAGCTTAATCCCACGGGCTTCCTTGGGAGAACTGTTACGGTTACATTTTTAAACAGTACAACAAATATGGCATCACTTAACCACGGTTGGCTTGTACGCTCAAAAGCATGACTGTCTTCCCCCCACCCCAACGGTTATTCTTTATCTAATAAAATACTGCCTTCAGTGCAAGTCTTGCTTCACACGTCATTGAATGAGAAGCCAAGGTTTAGGTAGGAGATGTTGTAACTCACAGAGGAAGAACAGCATATTGGCTTTCCATGAAAGATGATAATCAAAGCGTGATCAACAGTGGCATTCTGGGCACATGGCTGGCCAGCTTGATGCTGTCTTATGTACCTAGCTGAGACCAAAGAGCAACTGTATCTCTGACCAAGACCTTGTTGCAACTGCTCCACTCTGGAAACAGGAGCTTTCGTTGTTTCCTCCCTCTCTACTTTGGCAACAGTCAGCCCTCTTGCTGACAGCTTAACAGTACACAGATGTGCGCGTGGTAAGCAGGTGGTTCATTTCATCTTGGATTAAGAACAAACAGCTTTACACAGCCTGCCAAGCCAGCAGCAGCTTTAGGTCATCACTAAAGTATCCAAAAACAAACAAACAAAAAAAATACAGCTTTATACCAACACCAATACTCCACTCGAAACATACCCTTGTGAAACTTCAGGGTGGACTTTCAAGACACAGAGGATTCAGAAACAACAATGGAGAATTTGAAGGGCTCAGATAGTGAGGAGACCAACAAACCTGTAAGAAGCTCACAGTCTGAGCCTAAAGGGGCAAAAAGGTTTTCACCCAGCAAAAGATGTTTTTCATCCAAATCTGTTCTATATAATCCACTAGATGAAAAAGAAGAAGTCCACTGCGTGCGTCAGTTGTATTTCACAATGCACTTCTTCCAAGTAAACACAAAAGAGATCCAGAACAGAATTTAAACAACAGAACAATTAAGGAATTTAAAGATGAACTCAATTCCCTTTTAGCCGTACCTGTCCTGTTAAAACCGCAGCTGAGCCAGCGCAACAGCACCTGGACAAGCTCCAACACCACCGAGCAGTGAGGACAGCCAACCTATTTCAGTTTCAAACCATGAAGTATCAGCACACAGCTCTCTATTAACACTCCTATCTCTGTTCCAGAACCCTCACCCCAGACCCTTTTATCAGATGACAGTTATCTATTGCGCTTTCAGCACCTGTGTGCTAATTTGTCAGTTCCTGGGGAAACAACGAACAAAAGGATCAAAATTAAAATCCAGAGCCAGAACAGTAAAGCTCAGTTAAACTTATGGTATAACAGAGCAGAGATTTATAATTCCTTTCTGACAGTATAAGTGAGGTAAAAGTTTCTTTTTTGTTGTTTTTAAACTTTGAGTTGTAATTTCAGAAGAAAACGGGTTGTCAAGAGACAAAGACTTTAATGGCTCCGCAGCATTAGAGCTGGGAAACATGATTCCAGGGCAGGCTGTTCTCTCTCATTAATATTAAAAACGTGCCATTATTTTGGGAAGAACTTTTGGCTAGATATAGAGGCAGAAGCGCATAGGAGAAGGCAAACAAATAAGCCATTTACTTCCATCTCTGGGATTTACAGTTTTAAAGCTTATCCACAATCAGGAAACACAACGCGTCACCACTCAGTGCTAGCTTGGAAACATGACCGGGATCAACGACAAGTATATATTAAGAGCATAATCTTGCCCACACCTCACCTGTAGCCATGTGCAGATGCCAGAGTAGCTGCCTAGCAGAGGTGCCAACCTTTGATGAAACCGGCTCTTACCTTCTAGACCGTGATCTCCTTGCAAGATCCCTCCGGGGAGGGTATCGCAATCTTCCATCATAGTCTCTGCTGCGAGACCTCTTCCTCTTCCATTTGTGACCCAAGTAGGTCTCTTGCTCGGGCGACCGGTATCTCTTACAGTGATGCATCTAAAAACATTAGAAATTTCCAGTTTAGCACCTGGAACACACGCTGGTTCGTGCTCTAACCACTTCCTGAAAGAGTCACAAAGCTTCTTATCCCATCAAAGAAGAAAGACGGAGACAGAGACTGCCCTACACAGGAACGGGTGCAGGAAGGGGCTGCGAAAGCCACAGCAAAGATTCCCACAGACTTAGGACGAGTCCTTCGCAACAGGATCACGGAACGGCCGGGGCTGGAAGGGACCTCCGGAGAGCACCTAGGCCGACCCCCCTGCTCGGGGGGAGCCCCCCTGCAGCAGGTAACCCAGGACGGCGTTCAGGCTGCTTCGGAACATCCCTAAGGACGGAGGCATCCAACAGCCAAACACGCAGCCAACGCCACCATCGTTTAAGGTATGCCGTCGTTGCACCCTTCAGGCCTCCTCTCAGGAAGCAAGAGCTATCATCCAGTTTTCCAGTGCCCTTTACAATAATCTCTATACAAATCCGTGCCACCGCGTCTCCTCTGCGGCCGTGCAACCGACCCCCCTGGGGCCTGAAACCGGGCGGGGGTGGGAAAGTGCCTTGCGGGACACGCAGGGAGACGCCAAGGCAAACGTCCGAGGACAGGCACGGGACCAGACACCGGACCTAAGGCAAACTTGGTACAAACGTTCTCCTGAAGGGAGCAAAAGCCCGAGCAGCTGACGCACCCAAGCGACACCCCAGGGG